GTGTCGAGTATTCAATTTTCATGTAAACCCCAAAGTCGGCTCAAACAGGTGTCGAGCATGCAAATTTCAAGTAGCTACTGTTTTTTCTTCATGATGTACTAGAAATTTAATTGAGATAAACCCGCACTTTCTGAATTCAAAATTTTTCATTCAATTCTAATTCCTTTATCTTACCTGAGATTGACAGCATATTACATTACATTACATTAATTTGTCCATCCTTATTTCAGAATTTGCGGATTTACTTTAGTTCATTTCTATGATGTTCTTATATTTTGGTATTCATGTATCGATTTGTGTGTATCAATGAATGATTTAACTACTTTCTAATTAATCTTCTTTTCTTTTGGGCTCTCGCGAGAGATCGCGCATGGCCTTATTTTCGCCCAAGAAGATGAGTTGGAGATGGTATTATAATATATCCAATTGAGCTAATTAACAGTTATGTCAAAGTGTAAACTCTTGTAGCTAATTAACTTAAATTAGCCATTATTTTCCAAGGTATTGTGTTTTGTGTTAATTGGCTCAATATTTATTTATATTAATTTTATATTAATAATTTTACATATACGACTCTCACGGCCATATCTATACTCTACATGAACATAAATTCAAATTATTGACAATAATTTCATTTATGGCAATGTGAGAGTCGGTTAAGGTTTAGGTATGAACAAGCCCTAAGAAGACCATTCCCCGGTTATCCCAGGTAAATGTTTCTGGTAAGTTACACTGAACGAAACATCAAGCTTCAGATCTCGAGAGTACGAGATGAGACTTCAGACGAGATATCGATAGGATTGTAGTTGGAGGGTTTTCTCCCTAGGTGCGTACAAAATCCATTAACATCAATGTAAGTTATACATTTCGATTCTTTTCCCTCACCTCCTTCCCCAGCTTACACCACCAGTTGGAGATTTATTTTCGCCCAAGAAGATGAGTTGGAGATGGTATTATAATATATCCAATTGAGCTAATTAACAGTTATGTCAAAGTGTAAACTCTTGTAGCTAATTAACTTAAATTAGCCATTATTTTCCAAGGTATTGTGTTTTGTGTTAATTGGCTCAATATTTATTTATATTAATTTTATATTAATAATTTTACATATACGACTCTCACGGCCATATCTATACTCTACATGAACATAAAGAATAATTCCACTTTAACACAATGGCTTCAATTCTGGCACTGATTACACAAAGATTACACATTCAAAGGTGTAAAGCAAAGTAGAAGAGAGAGAAGGTCAGATATATAAGGACTAAATAGGTTATCAGTCATAATATGAGCAATGTTAAAACTAGCTGTGAGTTTTTAAAAATAAACTATTAAACAGTACATGAAATATGGATGATGGAAGAGATGTATAAACTAGAAAAAATGAAGGAAGGAAAAAAGAATCACAAACATGGCATTTGTTTTGGAATATAGGCACAGGATTCAGATCTGAAGGAACATTAAAAATACATACTGGGGAAAAGGACTTCAAATGTGATATTTGTTCTAAAACATTTACACAGAATTCACTTCTTAAACAACATTATAGAATGTATTCAAAGAAAAGGGACTTCAAATGTGATATTTGTTCTCAAACTTTTATTTGTAATTCAGGTCTCAAAACACATTTTAAAATACATACTTGGGAAAGGGACTTCAAATGTGATATCTGTTTTAAAACATTCAACAACATTTCAAATCTCAAAAGACATAATAAAATCCATACTGGGGAAAAGGACTTCAAATGTGATATTTGTTCTAAAACATTTACACAAAATTCAGGTCTCCAAAAACATTATAAAATACATACTGGGGAAAAGGACTTCAAATGTGATATTTGTTCTAAAACATTTACACAAAATTCAAGTCTCCAAAAACATTATAAAATACATACTGGGGAAAAGGACTTCAAATGTGATATTTGTTCTAAAACATTTACACAAAATTCAAGTCTCCAAAAACATTATAAAATACATACTGGGGAAAAGGACTTCAAATGTGATATTTGTTCTAAAGCATTTAGCAAAGGTTCAAATCTCAAACAACATTATACAATACATACTGGGGAAAAGGACTTCAAATGTGATATTTGTTCTAAAACATTTACACAAAATTCAAGTCTCCAAAAACATTATAAAATACATACTGGGGAAAAGGACTTCAAATGTGATATTTGTTCTAAAGCATTTAGCAAAGGTTCAAATCTCAAACAACATTATACAATACATACTGGGGAAAAGGACTTCAAATGTGATATCTGTTTTAAAGCATTTAGCAAAGGTTCAACTCTCAAACAACATTATAAAATACATACTGGGGAAAAGGACTTTGAATGTAATATTTGTTTTAAAACATTTAGGGAAAGTTCAAACCTGCAAAGACATAAAAAAATTCATACTGGGGAAAAGGACTTCAAATGTGATATTTGCTATAAAGCATTTATACAAAATTCAGATCTCCAAAGACATTATAAAATACATACTGGGGAAAAGGACTTCAAATGTGGTATTTGCTCTAAATCATTTAACTTAAGTTCAAATCTCAAAAGACATTATAAAATACATACTGGGGAAAAAAGACTTCAAATGTGATGTTTGTTCTAAATCATTTAGAAAGAACTCTCAAACAACATTGTAAAATACATACTGGAGAAAAGAACTTGAATTTAAATGTTTGATAGTAACTATATGTTAACAATATCATTAATGTTACTGGGCAACCCCATCAGGAGAAGTGAGACACTTTGGGGAAACCAGCTCGCAAACACCAATCCTCTCCAAGACCTATAATGGGAGTGTCACAGAGAACTTAGAGAGGCTGTTAGACATACAACCTTCAACTTGGATGAATACATCAATGTGTGACTGTTTCCCAGGGGCAATAGCTAAATGGAACTTTTTGCCAAGTGACATCTTAGACAATGCCAGTCTAGAGAGTATAAAGCATTGCAGCTGTGTTGTCTATGTGAAGCAGCATAATACATGTACAATAAAACCTGGCTTATCTGAACACCACTGGGATCAGCCAAAAGTGATTGGATTGGTAGGTGTTCAGTGGTAAGATATAACATGTGAAGTAAAACCTGTCCAATATGAACACCACTTGGACAGCCCAAAAGTGTTTGGATTAGCAGGTGTTCACATTTCAAGTTTTTTAATATGTGAGATTATATGAGATAACTAATTCATTTAGGACTGAGCAAAAGTGTTCACGTAGAACAATGAGCAAGAAGGATAGCTCATTTATATATTCATCCTTGCTAATTAAAATAACTGTAAAACAGGTTAAATCTACATACACCTTGAATTGTCTATATTGATAATTTTCACATGATGATTAAAAGTTGTTTAAGCAGTCAAGAAGTTTCCCAAAAGATGTAAACGTTGGTGAAACAGAGGGAGTAGGGGTGAGACTGTTTGAAAAAATCTGATTCTGGTCGAGTTTGATTCAGGCCAGCGAAAGCCGTTGCATGGTCAGTGATTTTTAATAAAAAAGTTTCAGATTGTTTGGTGAATGACATATATAGGAATATATAAATATATGGTTTTGAAGATTGATTTTGTTACTTTTAATGATAACTTCCAATAAATATGATATAATACTAATAAGGACAGATATTTAGATTGCATCTAAATCATAAGCAATAGTCTAATAATGTAATCTGGAGTGCAGATGTAAATATAGAGGTGTGTAGGTAGACTGATTCTCCTCCTCAAACAATGACAGGGTCAATCTCACTTCCTGTTAATTACACATGGAATGAATAAAAGTAAAATCGCTGCACATTTTACTGTAAATGTGCCTGTTTTCTAGTATTTCACTAAGATAACTCTTAGTAAGGTGTATACATTTTAATTTCAAGTTGTATGAGATCAATTTAATATAATATAATTTATTTTAATGGGAGGTTTTTGATACATGGTATATCTGAGGGAAATACAATATATCTACCCAAGGGACCGTTGGGATTGAAGGTTAATATATTGTATTTACCGAGGGATATACCCTGTATCAAAAATCGAGCATTCAATAACTGATTTATCCTATACTTAGTAGATTATGAGAATTAAATATGCATTGAATGTTAGGGAACCCTAATGTAGTAATTCAAACAATAATTACAATCAAAACCTGAATATTTTATCTCAATTTAAAGTCCTTAACAATTTTTGTTTTTTAAAACTCAACAGCTTTTAACATTTTACAGTGTATGAAATTAATATTTATCAAATAGAGCCAAAGCATATCCTGGGAATTCAAAAAAGCACCGACAGAAATTTCCGGTGGTGATATACATATCTCCCGCTCACCTCAGAGGGAGATATATATATCACCCGCTCACCTCAGATATCGATTGTATTACTGCATGTTATTTACCTATAACACTACTAAGTATGGGATAAATTAATTTATTAGATTAAACTTTGAGAAAATGCCTATAATTTTTCCCAATTTTTAAGCCCGAAAGTGATCAGATTCTTCAAGTTTGGATTGATTCTGGTCAACCCAAAGCCGTCAACCCGTGGGTACTTGAATCTTCGGGTTATTGTTTCACAAGGGAATAATATAAATACATTTCTTGAATAAAAAGTGTTTTGTTTATTGTATCTATAAATAGTATATATAATGATATTTTGTACAAGTATGACTGATTCAATAATAAAATACAGACACAATATGTAACTAGTTTCTTAAGTTAACATCATGAATTCCAAACAAAGAAAAAGATTCTCATGAAACTAAATAACAGCAATTCCAAGCTTTAGCAAATCCCATCGAACAGCCATAGCTGCCATTTTTGGAAATGACTGCCTAATTAGACAGTGAAATTTTCTTCAAGGTATTCAAATAGGCCCGAAGCCAGCTTTTGCCAAAGGGATTCATTCCTCATCAATAACAATAAAATTCAGTGACCACCTTTAGGAGAACATCATGATGAAAACCTTTAGGTCCTTCTATGGGGACTTGCAGAATGATAATAATGTTGAGCAGTACATTACCTTGAAATATCCCTTTTCTTGTAGCGTTGACTTGTATCTTTGCCACCTGACATCATTGTCAGCTATGGTTGATGGATTAGTCTGGCCTGGTTTTGCAGAACATTTCGCACAGAGAATCTCAAAGCCATGAGCCTGGAAATGTTTTTGGATATGTACTGAATTGATTTTAGAAATTGAATAGATGGCAGCTTGCAAATGCTTTATCTTATGTCCTATGTTGATAACAGACATGTTTACTCCAACTAAAATTAAAATACATTGCGATAATTTAACTGAACACATTTTTCCATGTACCGTTTAGTTTACATGACACAGGCGGCACCAAAACATTAACATTAAAACAAAAACCACATTAAAAAGAAGACATTTTTAATTGTTAACTGTTTTTGTCATTAGCATCGCTCAAGTACAATTTTCATTATTGTAGAATGCTTATGAAACCCACTGACCCTATTTAGACTGAAGAAAATTTATTTTGTTCAGAAGTACATGTACATGCATATATCAGACAACAACGAGAGCATCCACTTACCAGTTTCATGCCTAATTCATGTGACTTGTGTTTAGGATTGGATGTAGCAGGAAGAGTCCACCCACTCCTTGGGTCAGGCTGGAATCTCTGTTGCATTAGCTGAGCATATAGACATCTTGTGAACTTCACCTGTAATTACATACATTTATATAATAAAATGATCAAGAAGTACCTGTTGATAATACCAAGATGCTAAAGGCATTAAGAAATGCTTTTTTCATCTTATTTGTCCTTCATCTATTTCCAAATTTATTTGCAATCAGAAAATGCGTCTTATATACATTAAAGTATTTAAGGAACAATGATATGATCTTGATGTTTGCAAGTAAGAATTTAGGGATGACAATGACAACTTACAATGACATCGCCAACTTACCTCTCTCATTACTCTAGTCCCAGGTCGAAAATGTGTGAATGTTCTGCATGCCTAAAAGTAAAAATATCATTGTCAAAATCATAAAAAATTGACAAAATCATTTTCTTCACAATTGCACGTAAGGATTGATCTGGGGTCTGCTGTTAATGTGTGTAACTTGCTCAGCTGATTTTTAAGGACAATGATTAAAATACATTAAAGTATATATCTACTACTCATTTACTTACTTATGATACTTAAATATTCATTTACTACTTGATGATCAGTTAAATTCTTTGGTGAGTGAATTTTTGTACATGTAGTTTTTTCATCACATGTATTCTATGCTTGAAATCGTAAAGAATGCTTAATATTGCCACTTAACCCACGTTAAAGCTACAGTCTACATCTAACATCTACAGTATTTGGCATATGAATAATGTAGTAACCAAGGGATTTGAAGAGTGAATATGTGACATTTTCACATCCTAATTAGATTGATAGACTAATTCCTGAACTGGGATTTGCAATGAGTTAGTTCTGACATAAGCAGTTCTTATTCAGCTGATGTAGCAGTGCTCGATGCCCATAATTAACAATTTGAACCAAAGAAAAAATAATCTGGTTGTCTATGGATAGAACACTGAAGCATCTTACTAAATTACAGAGATTTATTGAATATTCACATATTCACAATTTTTTCAAAAGAATTTTTTGTTATGTATTCAGCGATGTCTGCATTTGTCAAGCAACTAATAATCGAACCAATCAATCTTTATTATCTAACTTTACAAGAAAAATAAAATTATTGTCTGTCAACTGCGCATCAAGATATTATTTAACAAGATTAAATGAAGTGTGACTCCCAATAACTGAATTTACATTGTACTTACGGTCATACTGACATTTTCACAGAAATATCAGAAAATCGTTCATCAAACGAAATTTGAGAGAAATGAGAAGTTTGACCGAGCGTGATATCAACCAAACAAACAAAGATAATCAGGCAAACAGCGGCTTTCAATTTCCGTATAGACATTTGTACAATGACATGCCCCTCATTCACATTTATCAATGTTCTATTTGAATTAGAAACCTAAAATGTTGGTGACCTCATCAGGCAGATTTTTTATGGAGATTCCAGACTATTTTGCAGTTAGCTAGAATTTCCCTTCACTTATATCCCCCTTTATTGCTTTATTGATGCACCCCCCCCCCACTCTGAAGTATGTACACCAATAAATCCCCCTTTCTTATGATGATTCTATATATTTCCAGAAATGCAATAAACTAGAGTACATTTAGGTTATTCAAAAAATAATCTGATCAATATTAGAAAGGATAGCTGGGGAATACAAGGGTCTTGAATGTACCACCATTTTTTGGAAAATCTCATTTTTTTACACCACTCTTTGGATAAGCAAGAATAATGCTATCACGATTCAAGTACCACTGCAAATTGATTAATGCCCAATGTGACCTACTTTAATCAAAATTAACTGACTGTTTCATCTCAAGGGCATTCTAGTGAGCCCATTGGTTTACTGTCTCATGGAATCCCCAGCTTCAAGTTGTCATTGTTAAATTTTTTAACTCAAGACTCATCAAAATTTTTGCACCTAAAAAGGATCTCAGTATCTATTATAGTTCAATCAGCCACATATTAAATATATATACAGGGACATATCAGAAAAAGCTAAGTGCATCCGTGGATCAGGGCTGACTATCTCCGGGTTCGTTATTATTGATTTCTGGATTCAGAATAGGATCAAAGGAAAATACATTATTGTTATATACATGGTACAGAAAACAGTTCAATGAAGTGCAATGTCACCAAGAACTAACCTAACATAAAATAATAAGTACATTTTATCATATTGAGACTACAAATATCAATGAATTGGAAATGGACAAGTAATAAAAGACCTGTATTATATAGGTGAAACCAGTATAGTGCATAGTCATTTATCATTTAAAAGTAGACACAAACCAAAATGTTATCAAAGTAGATTTATTTATATAGAACATTAAAATATTTCAAGGATGCATCAGCCATTAAGGTTATCTTTTTATTGTGGTAATATACAAGATAATCAGAAAATTTTATGTTGATATCCCAGACTATTGATTTATCTTCCCTTGAGACTTGTTCCCAATTGACAAAGAATAATTCATACTTTCCTGTTGGGAAAAGAAAAGAAGTCTCATTATTTGATTTATCATTTACTTTTTTAAAAACGAAAATTGTTCAAAATAGAAAATATATTTTTCGTCATATTGTTTAGTTATTCATGTACAGCTACAGAGGTTTTTCTGAGAGTATTGATTTGTACTTAGAGTAAAAAAAACACTGTCTACGAGCTTGTAATTTTTATTAGCTTGTCTTGAAATTGGAACAATTGAACCTATAGGATAACTCCTGCCTCGGTTCCATACCTTTACTGAGATTTATGTCTCAAAAACAATGATGAACAAAATCATTTTTATGCTCTTGGCTTAGAATATCTTTTTTAGTTGAACGAGTTTCAAATTTCAAAAATGTTTTGTTTAAGTACAGGATATAGCCGTAAGAGTAATTAATATACTGAACCAATTCATTGCTAGTAAGTTCACTAAGTGCTCTGTTATCATGCCCTTTGATGTTAATGATGACTCAAGATATAAAAAGATAATGTTATAAATATGGTGATTCAATGATGAAAGAAAGTCTGTATTTACAAAGTATGTAAACATTACAGTCAAATTGGACTGACTTGAGAAATATAAACACATGTTGTGTGTATGTATGCAGGCTAAAAGGTTTTTGTTCAATCTGACTAATGGAAACTAGCTGGAGCTAGATACACATGAGGTTACAGGCATTTGTGTCATTTTGATAAAATAACCTGTTTACATTATTTCCACAAGTCACATAGTTTATAGGGGTTTATATTGTTTTGCTTTCTGATGTTGCCACTTGTGTTTTATCTAAGCCTACCTTTAAGTCGACTGGGTCCCTGTAATAGAAAGCCTCAACCCCCGCAGCTAAAAGCTGTGGGTTGTCCTCCAGCACAGCGGCCAGGGCTGCAGGGATATAACAATGAGCACGATGCATGTTGGCCTCTATTTTGCCTGGGTATCTGCAAATACAACAAAGATACAATATATGATGATGTTCTTTAATTTTTGCAATCAAAAACACACAACAAATACATGTACATTGCCTGGTGTCAGAGTATACGCTACTTCCTCCTAAAAAATGAATGAATTCTTTGAGTGTTTTGTGGGTCTTGACTAAGTATATAACTTTGATCCTGATTTTAGTTTTCAAGGGAGAATCCTCTGTCTGCTACCTCCTGTTAATTAAATCAGCACTTCTGTTATTCTCTGGGGATAGGTCACAACTACCCCCATTTTCTAGGTAAAATCTAAATTGTGATTTGTTGCTATTTTACATAATGTCATAATGTACTTTCTCACGGAGTCTGGATCACCCACAGACTTCTCATGCTACTTACCAATGCCCAGAATTGTATTTCTTCTGAAGTATTCACACCTTCGACGACTCCAAATTTGACCTCATACAACCTGCTATATTCAACTAAAGAAATGAAACCTACTTTTTCAATTGAATGTCTTCAACCCTGTGTTAACATAAACATAGATACACTGCATTCAGTAGTGGGTTAACTTGACATCACCCGATATAGACATGTCACATGATTTGGAGGTCTCACAAATTGAAATGGTGAAGAAACGAAGCATAAAATGAAGAGCACTAAAACTGAATAGGATTTTAGAAATACAAATGGAGCGACTTTCCATATAATGTTTTAAGAAAAAAGGTCATGTGTTTTATGTATGTGATTTGAAAAGTTGATAAAGGTGAATATGCTTTTGAGACTTGAAATGTTATAAATCATGAACACGTTCAATACAAATATTGAAGCAATGCCAAACACTTTCCCATTTAAAAAATATGTTCCCTTTGAACAACAATTTTTTATCTTTAAATCAATGAATATGCAGGTTATTTTGACAAATATTGAAATTGTATTTACTTTAGAAAAAGATGCATATGAACAAATTATAGAATCAAAATACTCAACATTGCAATCTCCGGTTAATATGACCCTTGTGAATGATAAATAATATTTTGGGGTTAGCCAGTTTATCATTTTATCATCTATGAGTGTTGTTAAAAAGTTCCTGTTTCATTTTGAAATGTTTTTATTGCAAAGGTCAAGGGCAACTATTTTAACTCGATGAGTGTTGTCATGTGACAAAAATCTTTAAAACAACATACTCATAATAATAAAATACTTAAATTTTATCAGTAAACTTAAAAAGATCAATACTTAAATGTTTCTACTAATGGATAGCCCTTTCAAAAATAAACAAGACAACATCAAAATCAAAAGGCAATGAAATGTTAAGTCAGAAGATACTCACTACAAAGTTGTTATCCTTTGATGTTATCCTATTTTTGTTATCCTTCCCTTATCCTAACAAAATATTTCTGCAACTGATTTTCAAGTTATTCCTTCATTTGAACAAGCAGATATTAAATGCCACATCTCAAAATCTTCTTTTAATAGTGATTTAATAAATCTGTCCCCATGTCTCAAAGGAATCAACTATTCACACTCAACCAAATGTTCAGTTTTAACACCTAATTAATCAGGGCTGCAGAACAGAAATCTTAAAACACAAAAAAAAACATTTTTTGGTAACAGATGTATATAAGAATGACAGCCAAAATTGTCTCTAATACCATAAAATATCAAAATGAGCGTTGGGTTGATTTTTCTAAATGAGCCAAATTGAGCCAAATTTGTTTTCAAAATGATCTAAACCAATGTCTTATACCATTAATGATAAATGTTTTACTTTGCATTATTGAAATAAAATGACCACCTTTTACTTTATGATTTTTTATGAACCATTCTTAATTGTATTTCACTGTGCTGAAAATAATGTTGACAATATTTCTTAAAAACATTTTGTACATTACAGTTTGAACATCATGTTAATGTATTACTAAAATAGAAAGAAAAATCCTTTCCCAGTGCTTTCTTATATCTAAACAACAATAAAGAACTTTATCTTGAAACATCAAATCCCAAATCGTCTTCATGATTATTCTATAGCCCTGAACAAGTCAGAGACAGAAATCTTAGTGGAGACAGACTTCTCCTCAACCACTGAATACAGAGGTGTCTGTGTTTTACACATTAGTCAAAGAATATGGGAAATCAGACAAAAACAAAATTCAACCTCATACTGTTGACACTTTATAACACTACTATGACATCACTTCAAAAATCGTGACTATTCAGGAAAATGTGGGAGATTTTTTGGTTATTCAAAACTTTTTTGCAAGGTTACAAAACCCATCTTCACATTGTTAATATCATAGCTGAAACTGTAAATTATTTGACATAGGATAACTAATGTCTGGCGTCCTGAGAAATCGATATATGATTTACGAGCATTTCGGTTCATCATTTTCTATTATAATGTCAATCATTATCAAATTTAGAAGTTCATTCAAGCAAGATAATATTTTTCTCGTCAGATTATATGTAAAAGAGTGGAACAAGCAGGAATACGCAAAAATGAATTCTAATTAATCTAGTACTTATTAACAACATTTAGCTTCTAAGATGAGAAAAAAATTTGCTGTTTCAAAATATTTTTTTCAATATACATGTTCAATATCAAGATGAGAAAAAAATTCAAAAATACTTCGCGATGTTGCTAGCATAATCACTAAATGAAATATTATCACCACAAAGATACATTATCATTTCTTAGTTTTTTTATGAATCAAAATTCAAATGTATTTTTCCAGCTTTGCTCATGTATATATATTTGAACAATGGACAGGATCTCCTGGAGTCACGCGGTAGTATCTCTTCGGGACGTATCGAAACCACTCCGTCCCGAAAAACCGTTAATTTGAATTTAAAACCTATCCCAGTGTTTGAAAATCAAGGATTGTGAGTCTCACACTTCACCGTTTTTCTTCAAACTTGTTCCGTACAAAGCTTCACAGAAATACCTTTCAGTCGATACATTGTTTTCGTGTACAAAGTACCTCGTTTTAGCGGCGTTTTGGTCCCCAGCTGTGAGATAAAGCAAATTTTCATAACTTTCAACTGTGAGTCAAGTTATCTCGCCAGTCTTTTACCCATTCTCGCCCATAATTTCAGAATGGACTCCCATTACAACCTTCCATCGCTACGTCTTGATTTTTGGGCATCAAACGCAGCAGTTTCTAAATCATCCACACATCTCTTCAAAGTTGACCAATACGTCCCGTCATCTTCCACTACGCCCCGCCGAGTCTATCACTATACACGTAGAGTTGCATTCTAAAACAATTTGTCCATCGATGTGTCCGTTTGTAGGTTGCCATTGTCGATTCTAAATACCAATCGGATTGTGTTTTAAGATTTACCCATTCTTGTCCATTTTCAATATACCTATAATAGGGTGGTCCGAAATCTCCATAAAATTTAGATTTCCCGATATTGCAATATAAAGATTTAAATTACTGAACAATTGAAAATATTTTTAAGAAACGTTTAAAGTGCCTTGAAAAAATGTTAAAATGCGAAAGGATGGGTGATGTCAATTATATTATTTTCAGCATAACGTTAGAAACATGTATCATTTTATATGGTACACGTTTCATAATGTAATCCAATGGAATCATACAGAAGAAAGGTTGACACACAACAGTTAAAATCTTTATATTACATTATCAGACCAAGTCAGTAGATGTTGTTTATATACCAATTAGTGTTGTATGATGATGCATTCTTTATATGAATCTAGAAACGTTTTTGTGCCAATATTGCTCAATTTTGATAACATCTCCGTTATTTTGAAATTAAGCGTGGCAAAGTTTCCCGATGGATTTAGCTAAAAAAAGTGGTGCCTGTAGGGTTATTGAAAATCATACGTGATGAAGAAAAAATACATATTCCTGAAATACAACAGTTTAATTTTGAGTTATAAACCATTTATGAAAACGGCATATTTGTCAAAATTACCAAAACTTCAAGTGAGACGCGTGGCAAAATTTCCCAGGGGTCTAGAGTGGAAATATTTGTACCAAGAGTCAATTTGTAACTAGAATCTTTTTACACCGGTGTAAAAGCGTAGGTGGTCCTATCAAATTATGGTCCTAGTCTCTATTGATTTATATGGTGACCTGATGGTGACCTGATTATTTTCCTTATTATTTATACACAATCAGGGCCAGAAAGGGCCGTTAGGAAAGGGGACCATAATCCCCAGGGGACCATAATTTCTTTCACACCGGCTTTGTTAGTACTTTGCCTTGGGTGTCATACAGTACATTTACACTGTGGCATGATGATGAACTTAGAAAATATGTATAGTCATGACAAAATGTTCTTTGTGATATAATATTGTATAGTATCATTCTGATACGTATTACATGTTTATGTTTAGTGCATAAAATTTATAGCCAGATCAATAATTCGGAGAGAATACGCTGGACGATAGAATATTAAAAACTATAAAAACATTCTTCATAGAATTAAGCAAATAGTGTTATTATCATTTAAGTAGTAACTGCATATGTTTAAAACCACTCTGTTTAAATACAGGTAAATAAATAAATATGATGCAATGAAAATTGAAGCTTTCTGTCGAGAGCAATAGTCATCACAATAGTATAGCGTTTTTTCTTTTACATGTTACTTTTTGTACATCATTGATTGATCCGCTCTAATCTGCCCTCGGCCGATAATTTATAAATTATTTATGTTGAACATTAGCAAAACAAGATTCCAGATTTTATTGTGTTTCAAACCAGACACTTGATTTCCTCACAAAATCAAATACAGGACAATTACATATAATTAAAGTTAAAAAGCAACATCTTCACAAACATTTAAATTATCAATTTCATGCAATCAGTTATAGTTATACTTCGTATGTATGCTAAACTAAGACTGGTGTTAAGAATCGCAGGCAAACCTATGTAAAATTACACAACGATGAACAAAATGTTTTAGAATACAACTCCACGTTTGTAGTCATAGACTCGGCGGGGCGTAGTGGAAGGTGACGGGACGTATTAGTCAAATTTTATGTGAGATGA